GCCACCAGTGCCTGGCTAATCTGGAATTCACTCTGTAGACCAGGATGGTCTCAAACTCTGCCTGCCTCTGTTTCCTGAATGCTCAGGTTAAAGATAGGCCACCAAGACAGGTTCATTAGTAGAGTAATCTATTTTTATTTGTGTATGTGATTGTTCATTTATTTATGCATGGTCTATGTGTGTATATAAGAATTTGTATTTGTATGTGTGTGTATATGGAGTCCAGAAATCAACTTCCTCAGAAGGTATCCATCTAGTTTTTGAGACAAGGACACTCACTGGTACCTGGAACTTACCGACTAGGGTAGGCTGGCCAGCCACAGCTCAGCAAGGACATTCCCATCTCTGCCTCCCCAGTACCAGCATTCTGTGTGTACCACCATCTCCCGCCTATCTCAGATCCTCATGCTTGTGAGGCAAACACTTTACCTAATGGGGAGCTGTCTGGCCAGCCTCTGACCTCGAACTTCTGGTCTTCCTGTCTCCACCTCTGGAGTGCTAGATGTATAGACTCACAGGTGTGCACTACCACATCTGGTTTGTGAAATGTTGGGGATCAGAGCCAGGGCTTTGTGTATGTCGTGCATACACTCTACCAGCTGAGCCACCTTCTCACCGTGTCTTCCTTTGCTTTCTATTGCTGTGATAAGCATCCTGACCAGAGGAGACTAGGAGAGGAAAGGGTCTGTGTCTTCCATGTTCTGATCACAGTCTGTATGATGGAGGGAAGTCAAGGCAGGAACTCAAGCAGCCTAGGAACCTGGAGGGAGGAACAGAAACAAAGGCCACGGAGGAGCGCTGCTTACTGGCTTGCTCCCATAGTTTGCTCAGCCTGCTTTCTTACACAACCCAGGACCTTTCTTTATACAACACAGGGATGGCACCACCAGTTGTGGACCGGGACCTCCTCCATCAACCATTAATCAAGAAAATGCTTTAAGAATGTGCTAACCAGAATTGTGTTCGCAGCCGCCGCCACTCCCTAACGCCAGCGCCGCCTCTCGCTTGCAGAGCTCCATCCGAAGGAGAAGGGGGGTAAGTAAGGAGGTGCCCATACCATGGCTGGCTGGTACAAAGCAGACTGCCCCCAAATCCACCGGTGGTAAAGCACCCAGGAAACAACCGGCTACTAAAGCTGCTCGCAAGAGTGCGCCCTCTACTGGCGAGGTGAAGAAACCTCATCGTTACAGGCCTGGTACTGTGGCACTCTGTGAAATCAGACGTTATCAGAAGTCCACTGAACTTTTGATTCGCAAGCTCCCCTTCCAGCGTCTGGTGCGAGAAATTGCTCAGGACTTCAAAACAGATCTGCGCTTCCAGAGTGCAGCTATTGGTGCTTTGCAGGAGGCAAGTGAGGCCTATCTGGATGGCCTTTTTGAAGATACCAACCTGTGTGCTATCCATGCCAAACGTGTAACAATTATGCCAAAAGATATCCGGCTAGAACGCCGCATACGTGGAGAACGTGCTTAAGAGTATACTATGAGGGGAAACATTTCATTCTCAAAAATTTTTTCCTCTTCTTCCTGTTATCAGTAGTTCTGAATGTTAGAT